CTATAACGATTATACTTCTATCTCACTATAGGACTGTTACAATCTGTCCTGTGAATGTTATTACAAACTTCTGTTTTTTTATCACACACATCGTGATTGTTCGTCTCATTAACAATGGATTCACAAACTATATTCAATCTTGTTATCTTTATGGAACCGACAGAATACTCAAAATGTTATGCATTGACAGGAAATAGGTACGTAGTTGTCAAATATTTTCGTCATGATTAAGCTAGAACCATTTTGTTTTTTATGAACGACAAGGTCTATGGTGAATCGACTTTAAAAATTCTTTCGCTTATCGGTAAATCTATAAAAAATTCTGAATTCTATGCATTTGAAGCTGTGGCTGAAAGCTAGTGTGAATGTAATTATGATAGACACATATTTTTTCTAAAATTAAGTACCTACACTTTTCTAATATTTCAATATCCCTGTCAACTATGCTTATCAATTGGACGATAAATAAGCATAAAATCCACTTGCGTTATGTAAAGTAACAAGTTATACAGCTGTCCATTACAATTCTTGCATTAAACATCAATTATCTAAGTAAGGAGCAAGAATTACTCAGGCACTCAGTGTTCTTACAAATAAGAACATGTGAGTAAATAATTGTAAAGGTATACATAATATGTTAAAGATGTAATATATTTTACAATATACCGTCGATCTGCTTACACAACGTGAAATAATAAAAATTAAACTCTAAGTCTTCGTTGTTAAGAATGACATTTGACATTTGCAAACCACATTAGCCTTTACAAAGACAATTTAGAAACAGCCGAGCCGTTTCGAAAGTCGTCGTACTTTCGCAAATTCACTCGCAACTAGTCATTTATAATCTCTAGTAATATTCCATACGTAAAGGTAAGAGTACTAAGACTTACTCCGACTTATCATTGAATCTCTTTCAAGTTTTATTATTATTATTACCACTAACCCGTGAAATATCCATGAACTAGAAACATTTTCAAGTTGACCACTACAGCGGATAAAATAAATCGTAAAACTGACGGTAGTCGTCCATAAAACTATTGTAAACATTAGCCCTATTAGCTGAGAAATACCACTGATCTGCTTTTGGTTTCGTCACTCATTGGCATTAATTGGTCTCTGTATTGAAAAAAATATCAGTGCATGCTGGGGAGCGGAGTCGGGCGGGCGCTCGGTTCGTTCGTTTACAATAAATGGTATTATAAGCTCATAGTGTATATTTGGGGGGCGCCGTATCTCTTCGTCATCGAAAGCGAGCCCTGCCACCACTAGCCGGTCAATTGTATAGTGCTATGTGCGTCGATCAGTCGCGCTCGCCTCTCCGCACGTCGCCGCCGCCCGCGCCGCCTGCGTCGCTCGCTCATCAAAATGACATTCTCGATACATTGACGTTAAATTAAAAACATTGAACATGTGTTGTGCCAGGTACACCAACTACCTGTTCCGTAGTGTTGTGAAGTACACATGTGGACTAGCCAGCCGCGAAAGTAAGTAAAACTGCGCCTACGCTGTACGTTCACGACCCGCTCAATCTGCAGTGTTCCCGACGCTAAAATTAAACCCGATAACGTTCTGTACATTATAATTGCATGTGACTACAAAATTCATTGTAACTTATCAACGCCGATGGAACATAAACTTTACTACTTTGTGTTGTTTTTATGTTAGTTTAATGCTTGTTTTTATTGACGTCTCTCGTTAAATTACAAAACTATAAAAATTTGGAAGTGCAAATCGTTTTGTGCTTGCGTCCTAGAGTGCGGTAAACACAACTTTAATGCACAATCACCACACGTCCTCTGAGCAACTTTCTAGAATGTTTCTGAGAATTAACTTGTGTGTCTTAAGCAGCGAGTGTAAGCACGGACTGTGTACTAACATAAAGTGTAGGAAACACATCGTTAGTGTTTGAAACGAAAACAGAAGCATGCAACGTACATCTGAGTACCTACTTAGGTACCAATCAGGTTGCTGCGTGTAGTCACGTGGAATTATTGTCATATCGGAGTAAATCGCTGCGCTAAAATAATTCTAGGTAAATAAGTTAATGTTTACATTGAATAATTGTCCACGCTCGGACCAAAACACGCACAATATACTGACAATAATGACTTCATAAGTATAATTATACAACACACAACTAATATAGACCACAATACAAATAATATTTCGTAAAAATGCTCACGACTGACGTTTGCGATAATAGTTCACGAGTCAAGGTCACAATGTCATTTATTATTGCATGCCGCTATTTGTTAATGAAAGTAATTTAAACAAAATAGTATATTTTTAAATAGCCGGCGCTCAATAGTTATGTAGTTAAATAGCGAATACATTAAACATGATTTTTAAGAAATCTATTTATTGCATTATTAAATCGTGAATGGATTAGCCGTGAAATTGAAGGTGCAATTGCGGCTTAAAGAGGAAAAGTTAGTTCATCCTTAGATATTGCAAGTAGGTTTTTGTTAAAGGAGAATAATATGCCCTTAGAACTTAGATCTTTCATTATCCTGTATGAGTGAACACGTCATAATATTTAAAACATAACGCGACCTACTCTCGCATTCATGACTCACCCACACAGCGACCACTCGGCCAGCCGATGGACCAAAAGGGCTGGCTACACTCATTAGTGTGCCAATTCTTTGCATAACTTAAGAACCGACGTTTTGGGAAAATCCTTGTCTAATGTTGATCAATTATAAGTAAATTTAAACAAACTCATGACTCAGTTTTCCTTATACGATACACATTTAAATTAACATACCTAACACCACGCCTTTTATCCCCGGAGGGGTAGGTAGAGGTGCACACTGCACATTACGGCACATAAAGCCACTGTATAATGTTACAGCCACTTTTCACCATTATTTGTGTTATGAGTCCCATGTAATAGGGGGCTCACCCCCTATTGTGAGGTGAGCCTATTGCCATGTAACAGGCACATTTCCAGACTCCTACAGCTACTACCTACTGAGATTTTCTTAAAAAACCCAGTAATACTTTACCCGGCCCGGGAATCGAACCAGAGACAGGGGTCTCTTGGCAGTCACACTTGCGACCACTCGGTCAATGACACATTTAAATAAAATTATGTACAATACTGTGTTTTTAAGTATTTCATGTACATGTAGAAGTTCTTAACAAAATTCTAATAGGCAGCTTTAATTGTGATCATAAGGAACTCGTGTGCAAATTACTATACCTCTAGGTTCTAGGTTCTACCCGGTTTTTTAAAAATGTGACTCTGAACAATACTCTGACACATATATTTTATTCAATAGATGAAACTGTTTTAATAAATTGATCATAATGCGCTTTGGTTTTCCCGATTTTGTGGTTATATTGTGTTTGATTAACATTAGCCTCGTTGGTACCTATTTAGCAATCATTCTAACCTAGATTGAAAATATGTATACAAACATGTTAATGAACGGTATCTATTCGGCTGCTGGTCCTCTGTCTGACAGTACCAGCGAATATTCCTAAACTCGACAATAATGAATACAACAAAAACAGAAATTATCCAATTTAATACAGCCATTCAAGAGTTATGCACGTACAAACATACATACATTTCGGTGATTAATTATTTAAAATTAATTGTCAGAAAATGAACCCTTATTATGCATGTCAAAAGACTCATTTTAAACAAACCATTTCCTATCCAATTATGCTCTGAAGAAAAAAAATCCGGAGCAAACTCAGTTCAGTCACTAATTAAGTATTGAGTATTATACAAATGAGTATTGTAGACACACTTAGACATAATTGATCAATCTTTACTCAATACCATGTCGACATTTACCTTATAGTATACTACAGACGTACTTATGCATATAGCTCAGTTAATTACTGTCTTGTCTATAATTATTCCTCAAACGTAACACTTACTTAGGTAACTCAACTAATGTACTGTCAGACTCATCAAGCCCTGTCAAAAAGATTTTCTACTGTATATATATACGTCACAAAGTTGAAAATTGAGTGAGCAATGTAGTGTATGTTGAAGTGCTGCTGTACACAAATTCGATGGTTATCGGATTCGGATTAAGTGTCACGGGGAAAATATCAGCAGCTATTTGAATAGATTATTGAAGTAAATTGATAATGTAATAGGTCTATTGACTTAATCGGAATTGAGGCTTATTCATTATTTTATAAGGTGTATATATATTGTAATCTGTGAAAATGGTTCATTTCAATAATTTATTACCCATTTAGATATTTGACAAATCATTTCTCATTTAACGAAAATATAAGCCATGTAAATATAAATTAAAATTTATGGGATCACTGTCACGTTAACAAATAGAAAACGGAACGTAAATTGATGTATTTACGAACGAAAAAAGAATAAAATTTAATAAATAAATCTAGCGTGTCAATTTTTATTTCCAATTGAACGAATAAAGCGCGCTAACCTTGACCAGGCGACCAAACATTATCCTTTTGTCTCAATTGGCCCGTAATTGTTGGGGACGTCTTCTATTCTCAGATACAATTTGCACTTACTCTTGTCAAATTGCACCTTAACTGTTCGCTCCGTGTTAAAACATATTTCAACTTCACAGGACGAAATGATTGGATAACATGGTCACCATACCGACAGATCAACCTGCACGACTTAACTTTGTAATGAAGTACACGAACAATTAGGTACAATAGTTACATTTTGTGCTTTCGCCCAAGCTCTTAGAATGCGATTTCGTTTGTAAGGACAAATGCGATAACGTCATACAAAAATGTTTTAACAATCTTAAATGTTTCCAGCCAAAATCTAAAGCCAAAACGAAATTAGTCAATTATACTTAGTCATTGGGATAATAATTAATGCTTAGTGAATGAATAGTGTAAATATTTTTGTGCTGAGTGTGCAGTCTCCGATGTGTGTTATATGTGATGTGCTTGAAAACTGCATGGAGCTCCACGTGGATTATTTTTATAACTAACCGCTAACCACAATAGTCACGTTTACAAGAAAACTAAAAAATCCAAAGATGCCTAAAGGTAAGTGCTACTTCGTATAAAAACAGTTGAATGTCAACGGTAAATAATGTTCATTATACTATGCATTAGTCATTCCCATCGAAACTATTTTCCTCATGATATTTATACAAGATGTTGCGGCATAGGTAACCATACCTATTAATTACCATTTTGAAATTATGATAATTAAAGGAGTTTGAATACGCAATACCTAAGTATTTATTTGCATTAATCAGCTGGTACTGAATTTAAGGAAATGTAACGTTCATATTCCTCGGTATGGTTGGTGGAATGTTTATAATTCCTGGTGGCTCACGTGTCCGCATCTCGTGACATCACCGCCTCTAAACAGCACCGCCAACTGCTGATTTCAAGGCTGACAATAATCAAATGTAACTAATCCAATAAACTCAGTGATAAAATAATTAATCAACCACATGTCTAATTCACCTCGCTTCGATGCAATAACCAATCAATCGAAGAGTTTCATAACAATTGAAGTTGTTTTAACAGACGTATTATTTGATGCATCGCGCTCACCTGCCCACCTGCTTCTCAAAACAATGTCGTTCCAAATAAAACTTCTCATTTAATTAAACTTTTTGAGCGCTCAAACAAATAGTGGCGCAGTAACAAGTAATATTTCCAGAAGACGTACATCTGACTGCTGCTTATTGTTTCAGCTATAATGAATCACTATTGTTTATAGATATCTTGTTCGTCTTTTCATCTCACAGTTTGATACTTTGAGGTCATGAATCAAGATTTACACTTCAATTCTACCTTTGCTCGATTATTGAGAAGTTTCATGAAACACATTATTTAATGTAGGCATAGTAGAATACAATATAGTCAGTGTTACCACATACATATCGATGTAGGTACACGTATATACAGAAAATAAAAGATTCACATCGAACACATTTTCCAGAAGTTTTATTTTACTGAACGAAAAAGGTCACGAAGCGAAGTGTTGTAGACGTGAGCGTGTGAAAATAAAGAAGGTTAAGATATGAGATAAGTTCTATTTCTACCTTGGAGACAAACGAGAGGAACGACCAACGACCAACCTCACCTCACTGCAGATAATTTGAAGAGGAACAGGATGGTTTCATGAGCTAGGCTTGTTAAAGACACGACAAAATATTTGATGAAACGATTTTGCTATTAGGGCCGTGTCGCACGCACCGCTTGATTGGTCGTCTCCCGTTTCACAGTTGACGCCACTTGAATCAATGAAGTGCTATTGGCTCATTGTTTAATCGTCTGTTTTATCAGCTGTAATGAACATACCGAGATGTTCGTGCATGCGGCTCGTTAAGGCACCCAATCATGATACACACAGTGCCTACGTTACACGTTCGAGTATTGTTTCTTTCTTTGCAAATGTGAGATTTTTACTCGCTTTTCCAAGAACCTGTTTGTTTTGATGTCTAAACTAACGTAACTGTTTAGCTAATTAAATCCTACGGATTGGATTCGGTTTTAGATTTTCTAATTTCGTAATCATTTCGTCTTTATACGATTTATTTTTGAATCAGTTTTATGCCACATGTGCTTACAATCGCATGAAGATAATCAGACGACCCCATGTGTTAACAACACATGGGGTCGTCTAGTTTAAAAAATCTGAAACGTATAGAGTAAACTAACACAAAACTTCTTTATTTCATTCTATCTGTAACATATGAAAATATCTTACGTGTACGTCACACTTCGTGTCCCAGTATTGGATAAACTGTGATTGCTCTCTCGTAGAATTGTACGACAACATTTTACAAAACATTTTCTGTGCAAGCGAATGCATTAAAAGAACAATAACATTGGCTTGATTGGCGCGCCTCGGGCGTCGCTTCTGCGGCCCGTGCTCCGCGCTCCGTGCTCACATCTCTATTGATTTTGGAACAATTGTGCACAAACGTCACTGACCCTGGAGTATTGTTGAACATATGAATAGTGAACTATTGCACCACTTCGGGGTTGCCGTTACGTTCAGCAGTCTCCTACTAATGTTGACTTCAATAGAATTTGTTATTACGTATTTGAACTAAATGTTTCGTTGGGAACACGCGTCGAGTTCGCGCACTTTCGCAACTATTTATAGTTAAAGGAAAAGTATTATAAAAATTGTGACTAATGTGGACATAATGTGAGTCAGTCTGTAATTTATTATAAGAAAATAAATATAACACTGCAATAGCGGTGACTGTGTTCTTGTGAAACGTCTGTTGTTACTTCTTACGTGCAACGACACCGGACGGGATGCATTGGGTTCGCAGTTCGCACATGTAAGCGCTCAAACATCTGTTCTTGTGTCCACAAGCCGGAACCGATCTACGTCAAAGTCTTCATCATTTATTATTGTCACGTTCCCAGTGGACGGGAAATAATAGCAAATGGGATTTATGTGCTGGAATTTATTGTTGGTTTAGGTCTGTGTGAGGCATGCCATTTGTATAGCCGCATCGAATGTCAACTTCTGAGGCGATCTAGACACATTTGTTCCTCGTGACAGGAGCCCTTGAAAACTTGTACTTATTTCTTTGATTTTAAATATCAATTTTGTCCACAGGCGACGCCGATATGTCGCTGAAGCAGGGCAGCGGCACCGGCAAAGTCCATTTCGGTGGTTTGGACGATGTGTCCTTGTACGGCACGCCAGTGGAACCAGCGCCGCCGGCGACGGACGCCAAGCAAGGCTTCCTGCGAAACCAGCTGCAGGCACTCTTCCAACCCACCGACAACAAACTAGCCATGAAACTCTTCGGCTCGAAGAAGGCGCTGATGAAGGAGCGCATCAGGCAGAAAGCAGCCGGCCACTGGGTTATACATCCGTGCAGTAGTTTCAGGTGAGTGACCTTGACTTCGTGTAGAGTACGTACTATATAAACGTATACTCTTTGTAGTTGTTGCAAGCCTAGTACTTATGATTTGATTGATGGAGAAAATACGATTGTAACCACGTGTTATTTCCACGCCAAACATGATTTTTCAGCCACTTTCTCTACGAACCACTACTTCTATTACTTCGGTAAAAAATCACCAAAAGTTAAATTTACGGTTTCAGCCGTATATTAAAAACATAAATGAACAATAAATTACTCAATAGGCACGTAATCACACGCTTAAAGAGCTTCAGATGGGTTTTTAAATCCGCAATACAAACGACAGTTTCGTAAATTAATTACGGTTTTAAAAAGCCATCAATAAAGTGCTTGAATGTTGTAATTATTACCGAACGAAGCTCTTCGCTTGATATTAATGACCGATATATTAATATCTTGGAGTTAATTGTTTACTTTAGTTTAGCATTGGTAAGTTTAACAGTCAGATATTTTTACTCGCGCCATCTTTGACGACTGATCGTAATTTTGACGTAAACTCAGGCATGTGCGTTATGTTCGTCCGTAATGTTCAATGTCAAGTCTTATACTCAAGGATATAATATGCTTTGTAATAAAGAAATTACGTTTTCATTTGATTTTATTTGAAAACGTTCCTTTGTGTTTTTGTAAATAAAGCAAAGAGTATAGAGTGGTATTTATTTTATTTTTTCAAGTTTGTTCTGAATTTCTATATCTTATAATAGTTTATTTTACGGCCTTAAGTATCACCGTTATTTAAATTCGTCGGAAAAAATAATTTGAGATTTAATAATAATTGTAAATCCACGGCAATGGAAATAAATAGATATATAACAACATACATGTAACAATTTTCTTATCATGAAATAAAGAAAGATGATTCTAGGTATCTATTCGATGAATATTTTTTCTTAGCTTAGAGCAATTACGGTATATATTTGAATAAATAAGTCTTTAAAATAACATAAATCTTTCTAGCATAAAAAATAGGTTCAAGACGAAATAATGTGGAAGAAAATTTGAATTAGGCTCCAAAGTAAACCCTACTAAATAGAGTTATACGGTCCAATTTGAATAAAATATAATATAAATTAGGAATTATTGTAATCTGTTTTCAATATTTGGTAGGTAATAGAAGACTATAATTTCCATAATTATTTATAAATAGTTATATTTTTTTAGTGACACAGACCATGTTACAAAGTATTTAGTAAACAAGAGTACATCAATTTAATGATCATTACATTCATTACTGGAAACGATTAAAAATTAATTTCAGTTTAATAAAACTTTAAATGTGAAATTAGCGCATTAAAACATTTGATAAAAAAATAGAACAAAAGAGAACATTCTATTAAAGTTTGCGTGAAAAAAAAATATATGGACATGCTTTATCTCATTATTTTCCTTCTACACACGAAATTGCAGAAACCGAAAGTGATGAAACAACACTTATCTTAATCATTAACCAACAATAAAATGCAATTCAAAGATATTATTTTTAAATCAACAAAAAGTGGAGGAAAATCCGGTGCGCAAACGAAACAAACCTTTATATCATATTTTAAATCGCATTTTTACAATTAACACTGCACAATATGGCGGCTTGTATTATTGAGATATATCACAAAAGCTAGCCGGTTATTTTAACTACTAAACGTAGCAGTTAGTCATGTAGTTCATATACCGATCATTTTGTTCAGCGAACCGTTCACAAAGTGTTGAATACGCAATTATATAGAGCTGTTATCTCATTGTCAGTTGACATTTGCTGACTGTACTTAAAACGGAGTATAGGTATTTTAGAGTTCAAGTTAATTACCTGTTTGCAACATCTAATAATCTGGGTTTAGTGGCTTTAGTCCCCAACACTGGCCTCGCGTTTGTCAAATTTGTAATCGAGTACGCTCAATTTTTTCATTGACACATCTAGGGAAGTTAATTCCTTGTTTTGTGGTGTAAAAAGTGTAAGTATATATGTCGTAGGATAATTTGATACTTCGAATCTTCGCGGAAATCCTAGGGGTTTTGCGAAAACGCGGATAATTAGACATAGGCGAAAAATTATCAAATCTTACTTTACAAAGTCAGGATTTTTGCGAAAATACTCATTACTATAGTAAGATTGCGAAACGAAACGCTGGCTGTTATGAAATAAGAACGCTGATTGGTCGGTCAGCGCGTTCAATAAGAGATCGTCTCTGATTGGTTGACGTCTTAAATAGTTTTTCGTCGTCTTAAACGACCAGTTTCATCCAATTTATGGATTATACCCTAAAATTGGATCATTTTTTTTACTACGACTGAGATCTCCTATTGTCTGTAGAAAACAACATACATACTAAAATTTTCAATAAAAAGTTTATAAAAATCAATTTAGTGATTTTCCTTTCTCACCTATTCTAAACCTTCATAACTCTATGATACAATACTTGAAGATAATCATCGGCAAACTAGGAACCAATTAGAAGTCAGCCAGCAAAATTGTAGCCAATCAGTGTTGAGCACATCAAATCTTACTATAGTAATGAGTATTTTCGCAAAAATCCTGACTTTGTGCAGTAAGATTTGATAATTTTTCGCCTATGTCTAATTATCCGCGTTTTCGCAAAACCCCTAGGATTTCCGCGAAGATTCGAAGTATCAAATTATCCTACGACATATATATGTCTTTTTACTTTTTTTTGATAATTATCTTTAAATAAAACGTGTATACAACGTAGTCTTTTTCAAAAAGGTTAACGCACTTATGTCAGTTCTTATTTTGTGAGTGTCCTTAGGCGGTATTGATTTCGTTTAAGATGATCCGTTACCTCATTTGCTTACCATTCCATGAAAAAAGTAATTAACTAAACTAATTTTAATTTGTAACAAAAATCTCACTATGAATGCTGTACAAAATAATGGATTTTTAATTTCTAACAATTACTGGCTATCATAAACACTACCTCCCACGCAAGCGTACTTTGTTAGATATTGTATTTAATTTGGGAGATTTTTTTTAAAAGCAGTTATGATGAAATTCTTTAGTTACCTATTTACGAAATATAAGCATGGCAGAATATTCCAAAATCATGTTCAACCTGTTTTTAGCGTACATTGCCCCACACTAGGATTTTCTCCTGCATCGAATGTATACACATGACACCCAGACCCGGAACAACAATCTGTGGATCACACAAAGAATTGTTGCGTGCGGACCTCCTTTACACTGTGACCTCCAAGCTACCAGCCAAGTATGGAGAAATTACAGTTATGGCAATCTCTTTTATGTAGAATCCTAAAATCCCTGTAGACTATCCCTACCCATTGATAATGATAGTCCAGCAAAAGACTTTCAAGAGCTGTTGATGATAATGATAATGTGTAAAAATTTCACCACCACGAAAATATATATAGTGAACTCATCTAATTCTGTGACTCGCCTAATAATTCGGTTTAGTAAATTTGGTAGAACTCTTAGGTTTCTAGAAAAAAATCTGATTATTTGTGCTAATATTCCTCATAAAAGACTGATTAAAACTCATGCGGAGACTAAATTAAATTAATTAATAATTTATTGGTATTTTATTACTCAAATGCCTTTGTCACGAAGTTAGATGAGTTCACCCTACTACTCCGTATCAAATGATACTCCCTTTCCATAATATAATATTATACTTAACATATTCAATTAAATTCATTTAGCAACAGTGCAAACATAATACGGTAAGTAACCGTAAACAATGAGCTATAATAACTGGGCTAAGCTTTCCTTTTGTAGCACTAAATGACAGTATAATTTATGACCTGTGCTCCATTTCTGAATTTATATTTTATAGCCAACACATATGGTGTTAATATATGCCAGGAATATAGTATTTATGTCTGTTAATGAAGTGAGAAATGAGGTTTTAATCATCATCGGCTGGTTCTAAATAAACAATATAGTCTGATAGATAAACATAATTGAATTATTCCAATGCCTTAAGTTCTTATGACCTCCTTCTTAAGTGAGGGTTTTCAATTGTCCCGACGATGCTTGGCGGATAGGAGATTTACTAACATAACATCACGCCTTTTATTCCTGAAGGAGTAGGCAGAGGTGTACATTACGGCACTTGATGCCACTATAGAATGTAACACTCACTTTTCACTATTTATGTTATGAGTCCCATGCAATAGAGGGTGACCCTATTGTCATATACCGGGCACAATTCCAGAAATTATCAAAAATAAAATATTTCAAAAGATTTACTATTTCGAGCTATAAAATTTAGGTATATAATAAATGTTAGTTATTTATTTATTTATACTTTAATACGTTTAATACTGAAAGTAGTCTAATTACGAACTAGCCAGATCTTGACTACAACTTATCTACATTTGTTATAATGAAATCAAAAAAGAATTCAACATAAAAAATCAGTAAAATATCCCAATTTAAACAACTGATACACTATTTCCCACTTTACAAAATCGCACCTCATGATAATATTAGACTAAATATAGGAAGTAGCTACTATAGGCTTGCCGCCTAGCGTGACCCGCGGCATGACCTCCAATGAACACTTTAACAAGCATTATTCAAAACGAAGCTAATATTTACATTCCATACAGATTTCTATGAGTCACACACATGTGTTTTTTCACTGCCATTCACAAATATACCAGTTCAAATTCGTTACAAGTTATTTTTGATATTAAATGTCATTGTACTCTGAATCTTTAGTAGATAGATATAATAGTTAATTTTATATGTCATCTCGAAAGTGTTAGATGGATTATGTGCAAAATGTTTTAGATAGATTTTCGACTTTATTTCAAAATATTTAAGTCTTTTAAAGTTACTGTTTGGAGTTTGTTGATTTACATATATGAGCATCTGTAAGATAACTTAGATTTTTATATAGACTTTCATTTAGTTACATGATACGCTACAGCATTCTCGGTTACTGCTAAGTTAATCGGCTCGAATGACTTATATCAGGCTTTTTCGAGGGCTTTAAATAACAAGTTATATTTTCATTAAAAGTAAGGAATTAAATTTTAGTTTTATATAATAAATAATAGTTGTAATCGGTTGATAACAACTATGAGCAGTTGCTGAAGGCTGATGTTGCACTAAATCAAAAATGATTCAAATTGTAAAAACATTTCTTTTTGTTAGATTTCGCATAAGATAGATAAGGAAGATATAAGGTATAAGGTTACAACCAATTGTAAAAAATATTT